CGTGGTATTGCATCAAATGAGCGATTAGTACAAAGAACGACAGGAATACACCGGAAGGGCATAGAATTGTCAAAATATGGAACGGTTAAGATAATGAGTTTAATAACTGTTTAGGATTGTATTCATTATAGAGTGATATCAATTAGCTTATCATTGAAAACCTGGGGTCGTTGGACAGCTGTCTCGTCCTAGTATGCGACTACTCGATAATACTCACTCACAACCCGGCCAGAGATTGAACTAACGACTTCCAGGTTTAATGGCGAACGCGTTAACCATTCAGTCACTGAATCGGAGTTCAGTGATTCACAGTTTTCTATTTTTGTCATTCAAGGTCTTCAGTTAGCATCCACTTCACTTCCAATTGCCTGTGCCCACAGGTCACAGCTTCTCATTCTGTGACAAAAACAGGAAAGTTTTCAACAGAAATTTTAAAGTTTTATTAGGATAAGTAGGGAAAAAAACAGAAAAATCTGGATAAAAATTGTTTTTAAGAAAGAGAGAGAGAGAACGAATGAGGCAAGTGAGAAGGAAATAAAAATTTTGTAGGAATACTGTTTAGTCAGTGGAAAGCCAAGGGAGTAGTAAGACTTGAAAGTGTTCTTTTTGAACACTATGTTCAGGTTTATTTGATCTTATACGTACAACTTCCGTTCTGTGGAGAACGTGTGAACGAACGACAGGTAGTAAAGTTCATCACAGTAAAAGCTGTGCTAGCATCTATTTGATATCTTACGTCTACCATATGTGCCTGTATAGAACTTCGAATGAATTTGTAAATCAAACCTGTAGATGTTCTGATATCCTAAGATGGAGGTTCCTAATAAGGCACCCAATTCGACCTATGCAACAGGGACAGCTGAAATGGTATATGATTGATGATATGCTGGAATTCAGTAAGGTATCTTTAAGTTTCCTGTTGAACAGCGGTTGGCTAGTAAAGTATAAGCATAGACATCCTGAGTAAAAAACGTTTCTACTTGTTGCTTTAGGTAAACGTTGTGACAGAATTTCACTCGACCTGTCACTCATGAATTACAGACGTAGAAACAAAGATTTCTTCTACACACTGCAACTTTGAACTTCACTGCGTTACTACTTATCATCCTCTGTACATTCAGTTAGTCTCACCATCAATCACTTAACACTTACAGTATGCACTCAAAAACACTTCAATTGACATATTTGCATATAAGTTAGACTATTATCCACAAAATGGAACTAATTGTAATTATAATTCCATATCCATTCTTTAATGCATTTGTCGCAGATTTGCCTATTACTATATTAATGAACTTGATTTTATAACTGTAACGCACCTGATGAGTTATTGAAAAAGGATATTCTTCATTCATATTTGACGTTTAACTTATATAAATGGTTTAATTATTTCAGTTGAATGAAATTGATATGTTCAAATAGGCCTCTGATGCTTATCAGTATCGTAAATGGATGAAACGATAGTCGATGTTTATATCATTTTGATTTCCTTAGAAAAATATAATTTTTCACTAATACTTACCACCTACTCATATCGATAAGTACTTTATTCAAGGTTCATTATACTAACAGACACTTCCTTAACAAGAAATTACCATATGAACTTTTATAGTGATTCCAGTATGTAGCTGTGTCGATACAAAATATAGTACATACTTTATCAATAACAAAATCTGTCGCGCGTAAACTAACATAACAGTCATGTTTAAGTATCTACTTAGACTGTGCTCAGCATAACATTTAACATATCCTATATGAATGTATTTTTGAAATGAGTGGGGATTTTTAATTTAGAAGTAGGATTCATCATGGACTGACATCAGTTGGGGAACCATTGAAAATCTGGGAGCACTGGACAGCTGTTTCGTCTTAGTATGGGGTTCCTTGGCAGTACTCATCCACGACCCGACTGGGGGTCGAACTCAGGACCTTCGGGTTTCACAATGAACGCGGTAACCCTAGCCGGGTGGTGGGTGCGTACTTCTGAGGAGTCCCATACTAGGACGAAACAGCTGTCCAGTGCTCCCAGATTTTCAATGGTTCCCCAACTAATGTCAGTCCATGATGAATATCTTATGTGATTTTACTCAATAGCGTGATGTTGTTAATATTCATAAAAGAGAAGACCGTTAACTACCATGCAAGGATATTTAAAGATAAACAGTTTATTATTGTTTTTCTAAAAGTACAAGTTAATACTAAACGCCCGCAAAAAGTTCATAAGGTAAACATGTGATTGTATATTTGGCTATTTCTGTTTACAAACAACACCTGATAGTTGATGCACTAATGTCTGACTAAACAGTTAACCCAACCCGTTGAATTATAATTTCTTATTATCTGCTTTTCTTTGCACTCTCCACAGTTATAATATCCTATTGTATCCATCAGTAATCTTCTAATCATTGTCTAGTTTCAGTTATCCAATGATCAGACTTTTTAATTTCAACTGCAGATAAAACAGCTATAAAATCTTTATAAGTAGTAGATCAAAATATAAATTAATATTTTAAGAAATAGACCAGTGAGTTAGAAACTCTGAAGCTTCAAATTTTAATGTAGGCTGCTGTGTTGTGGTGATAAATCTCATTGGACAATTTCATGCTTCATGGAGCCAATCAGAATACACTGCTTTATGGTTGACCTAACCAATTCTTCTTGTGGCTCAACGAACAGTCGTTATCGCATTCAGTTCAAGTGTTGTACTGCGTTCAATATCATGACTGCTTTTATGTCCTAATCAACTGTTACTTTATTAGTTGGTTTCAGGTAATTAGCAGGAAGCCCTGTAAGCCACAACTCCTCCATTGCCCACCGCAGCAGCTTAACTCAGTCTTCTATCCTCGACTTGTCTGTGGGCAGACACTTCTGTCACTTCAGATCTAAAATAGCATTTTTAGTGGACTGCTGTAGAAGGACAAAATGAAAATAACAGATGGATTTACATTGATTAGTCAATATAGAGCAAGTCTTTAGTGCTTACCCTATTCTGTTTGTTATTTTACACTGAGTGGACATAAGTTTTCTGGAACTTGCAGAGTTACCGAAAACATGTTCACGAATGTTGAGTACAAACATGAAGAGACGCAAATTGGTTCAGAAAGGAAACGACATAAGTGTGAATCAAGATTCTGGGCAAAAGGAAGAGATGAGGTTGACAGCCTAAACAAAAAGTGGAATCAAATCCAAACATAAAATTATACGTATGTACTTCGTCTATTAGATAATAGTTTTAAATTCTAGTTAAATTGCCAGTTTTAAGGATACCAACTTGAAATCAAAAAGTAAATCCCTAGAAACCTCTAAAATTGAATTACTTTAGTGCTCATAAGTGACTTACTTCAAGATTTGTGACCGATGTAGCAAATCAAGTCTGACGTGAGGATAGTTACTTAACGATGGCATCGAATGAAGGTCAGGCTATATCACTAACTGACAGAACTAAAAATACATAGACCACTAAATTTCGTTCGTCCTAAAGACTCAATGGTAATGTGCTACCGATGAAACCTGGAGGTGCTGCTTGGGTTTGATACCTGGCAGGGAGGTGGATGAGGGCTACTGAGGAATCTCATACTGGGAAGAAACAACTGTCCAGTGTCCCCAGGTTTCCAATTCTTCTCCAGGTGATGTCAGTCAGTGATGAATACCAAACTCGTCAACAGTTTCACATTACTATACAGCATTTTTAAAACGATAAATAATATATTCTAAAATAGTAGTATCAAACGGTTGAGGATGAGTCAAAGAAATTACGAGAGTGATCATGACAAAGAATAATTACACACTTAATTTTTGAAAGTTGGAGTAAGTTATTACTGCAGTCATTTATGTAGTAATTCGGGTAATTGACTTTTGTGGTAATAAATACTGATCCACACATTTTACGATGGGAAAGTTGGACTGATACCCAGTCTTCGATATGCACCAAGAGTTTCGTTGGATCTCAAGGAGGCTTAAACTAGTTTTAAGCTCAAGACAACATTGTTAAGAGAACATTTTCATCTTAGTTTTAACAGCTTTCACCTTCGATTCCGTATGAAATCAAATCTGAAACATTCTGATGATAAAATGACAAAATGTTGGTCTCCAGTTAACTGCCTAGTATCAACAAAATCGCAGCCATTGGGGACAATCTAAGCAGAAGTGAGGAAAAAGTCTTACAGAGAGCCGTAGTTAAAAAATTAAAACCAATGGATTGTGAAGCAAAAGTGTCACGATGACATGCTTGTCTCATCGTCAAGAGGAAGTGAGCATGATATTTGATGTAATAGATAAGAACAAATGTCTATCCCATCATAGTTGTCAGTGGTTCTTCAAATTACGTTAATTTACGATAGGGGTTATTAAACTATCATTTAGTCGCCCAGAAAATGCTCGACTGGATGAATCACATTCTGAGTAGTAGTAGTAGTAGTAGTAGTAGTAGTAGTAGTAGTAGTAGTAGTAGTAGTAGTAGTAGTAGTAGTAGTAACTCTTCAAAATGCAGAAAGTCGAATTCATTTTCACTTATGCGATGACAAATGACTTCCATGTAATTAGTCACAAGTGCCAACTTAGCTACTCATTGTGCATAAAGTGGATTAAACTGATGGTGTTAATATACTGACAAAAATACCACCAACCCCTTTTATAATTTAACTTCACGATATTAGAAAGTTGTAAACACATCATACATAACTCTAAAAGCAGATTAGTCAAATTTTTCTGCGGTAAGCAAGGAAAATAAGAAAGGAAATTTTTCTAAAGTAAATATTTTCTCGTCTGATCCCTCTGTAGAGTAACACCGTCGCTTCTCCATGGTTACACACCTAACGTATAATAAATAGTTACAACCCCTTCCATTTATTTTAAATTATGATAAATCGGGGCATAGAATACGTCTATTTCAGGTAAATGATTTTACATATGGCTTAACTGATGAACATACTGGCAAATATATATATATATATATATACGAAGCTGTATGTACTGTTCAACTCTAATGCCATCAGTCAGTAATGCAACACAACGTATCCACATATTCATACTTTGATACACCATGGGATATGTTTGTAGAATGTGAGTATGTGAAACAAGGGATTCTAATATCAAATCAAATACTGTGCAGTTTATCGAATCTTAATGGTATTCTCTGCGCTTATTGCTTGCCCTTCATTGTTCTATTCAACTTGATAAGTAACCTTATTAACACTGTCATCTTTTCTTATGGTTATCAGCGTAAAACTCGTCAACTTATCTATCTTGAAGTTATTGCCTTGCTAAATCTTTTCACTTGTCTTCTTGAAGCCACACTAAGACTTATACCTGCTAAAGACCTTCCATTTGCTTCGAATGGAAGGATATTCTTTTCAATAAATAATACTTCAAGTCTTGGATGCAAATTATATCGTAGTGCTTTGTCAATGATGAACACACTCAAATGGAATGTGTTGATGACAGCAATGCTAGATAGACTGTTAGCAATCCAGTTTCTTTTGAAATGTGGTAAACTACCAGCACGTTATGCATGGTATTTTGTAATGAGCACATTGATAACAGCTATCTCAATGGTGATACCATTTATTATGCAATCTGATTGGACTTATTTTTATGGTAAAATTGTCTGCTATGAACGTCCTATCTCGATATTTTTATCATTCTATTATGGACTGGTTTTAGGTGTATGCTTTATTCAAACTTCCATTAATGGATTACTCAATGTGGTATTATTAATAAAAATGTATCTCTGGTTACGCAACAGACGTCGGATGACAGTGGTACAAGCTTATGAAAGCAATGAATTAGGAGCATGTATTCTACTCTTAATTATTTCAAGCACTACATTTCTATTATCCATCCCTGGTGCTATGGTCATGTTTGTTGGGATATCAGATCCATTTACTAATGATCCAATTGGAGCATTTACTAGATTACGTGTTGTGTTAAATCTAAGAGATACATTCTTGAGTATTATCTACATACAATCAATATTTAATACTATAATATATGCTTGTAGAATGAAACAATTCCGTTTGTTATTCATGTGTATTGTTCAGTGTAGATCTTTTGATACTGTCATGAGATCGTATAACAAATCATCATCTATTCACTAGTCAACCCAATTAAACCATACTTCAAGAAATAATGAATAAATGAACTGCCTGAAGAAATTACACAAATGCACAATCATTACAATGTATGACTTGTATCTTGAGATAAAATGCCTGAAAGTGTATACAATAATATGCAGTGAAGTTAAGCAGTTTCATACATATAACCAAAAACTGCACCTTTAACTTGTCAAATGAATATTATTATTATTATTATTATAAGTGATTGGAGTGCCGTACACCAATTTTTTATCATTCCCATGTAAAAAGAAATAAAATTCTCCTCAATGCAACATTCTTTCAGTACTGTACAACTCTAGTATGCATTTTACTCCTATAATGAGTGTAGCTATTTCGAATATTTACTATATAATGCTACAGAAGTGTTTGTATGTGTGTGTGTCTGTTTGTTTGCTGATTATCATCTAAATTTATACCTATAATCATCTCTACAATAATTTATTATGGTATGTTGTTACTGTTGTTTCTTCAACTCTGTTTAGTGTCAATTTGTTTTAATGAACTATTCTGTATATCGATATTTTTTTAAATTGTGAACGTAAATCAAATATATATTTAATTTTCAATGTTATTCACTTTATATTATTTAAAGTTTCTTTCACCGCTTTCTTTATAGCTTAGTGTATGATTCAATCATTTTTAATTAGTCAGTGAAAAAACGAATATTAGTTCAGGTGAAATTTGATTACTACCTGTTTTAATTAAACAAGATGTAAAGGTAGATGAGTAAATATTTTCCCCTTCATTTTATGTTGTAACTTCAGTTTTCAGTAACTTGTTTTGTTAATCCAGGAAAACGATTAGGTGTAGTAATAAGTAGTAGAAATAGATAACCCGAAGTCTTCGTAAATTTACCATGAAACCAGTCAATTCCCCAGAAACTGATATATTTATAGATATCCAAACCAAGTTGGGATTTGATGATTTTAAAAAATTTGACCATTAGGTAAATAATATTCACTACTCTAATATTTATACTTCCTAATGAATGTAAAACAAAATAAAATGGTTTCAACTGACATTTCATTATTCAAAGCTAATCGTTTTATCAACCTTATAGTAAACTGGAGTTTACAATATCCAAGTTTACATTTGATAACTTGATAAGTATTCTTCTAGATGGATGATTCTCTATTGCTGAGTTGTTTAACAAAGATGATATTCATATGCAGTGTATTCCGTGTATGAAGACTGTATGCACTGCAAACAGAGATATGTATGTACACATGTGTTGATAGTTCTTGTCACATGTATGTTGATTGCGTCATTATGTGGGGGTGGGTTGAAGCTAAGTCAAGTTACGTCTTATTCCTTCTTTGCTATTTGGACAATTTTGGTTTCACTTCATTGTTGAGACATTGTAAGACATTTCAAAAGCATTTGTGAATGATTCCAATGTTGACAAAATTGACCTTGTGATTTTGACAGATCATACACCTCGGATAAAATTAGGACAGTGCTAAGCAAATTCTACATCAGAGTGTTCTACAGAACATCAAAATTATTTCAAAGCACTAAAGTTCATTTCAAGGACGAGATCCCTGTAGATACACAATCAAATTGTGTTTATAAATTAAAATGTTCAGACTACGATGCAATGACCACATAGGATGAACTTCACGTGAAACGAAAATGAGAAGAAATGAACATCGAACAGCTTTCACCTGGCTGCTTAGAAATCTTTTAAAATGCTTGGAATTACTTCATTCAAGCTGTAGTCTGAGGTCAAAAGGTCAGCTCATTTGACACTATCAAATTATTCAGAAATGCTTTAGAAACTATAAAGAATTTATTTACGTGAAATGAAATCTGTCAGTGCAAGGGCATAAACAAGGAACTGAATCATATAAAAGAAGCGCTAATAGTTAATAATTATCTTCTACAGTTTATTAAGAAATTCATGCGAATGCATAAAAAACGAAATAATAACAATAACATGAGTATAACTAACAAAGACAACACAAGCAGAAAGGAATTCAAGGCCTCCATTGTGTTAGCCTATAATAAAACAACAACAGAAACTTTATGTAGGATTCTCAATAAAGCTGGAATAATAAGGGTAAGCAACAAGGAACTCACTCTAGCTGACAACGAACCAAGCATGAACCTATCACCCAATGTGTATGCAGAAGGAAGTGGAGATGGATTGGGTATACACTGAGAAGTCCGATTGGGGACATCACTCATCAGTCCAGTCCATCGAGTAGGACCCAAATAGGAAGCAACTAGTCTGGTGTTGAAGGTTGACATGAAGGAGATCGTGTGAAGAGGAAATGAAAGCTTATAGGCAGTCGTGGAGCCTGGATGAAAAGACTGTAGAGAAGAGAGTGAAATGGAAACTTGCTACTAAAGCCGTATGCTCCCCTAGGAACCCAAGGGACAAAGAATAATAAAATAAAATAATAAAAACGTTGTCAACAAGAGGATTCAATAATGGGTCCTAGTATGACACAATTTTCTTTTTGCAGGAGAAACTGTGTGTGCATGCATACACAAACCCACCTGATCTGTTCTCACTATTGTACCATGTATTGCATTATTATAGTGTCTTAGGTATTTCTGTAGTCAAGCTCTTAGGTCATTTTTATCTTATTCTTATCTTATCTTATCTTATTCCTACTGTGTATCTCACTCACCAGTACAGGATGACATATCTTTCAGAGGTATGTAAACACTGACGGATATATACCTTGACATTGTCGCTTATGAATCGCTAGCAAGCATTACTTACTGTAAACCTAAAGCAAACCAACCAGCAGTTTCTTCTAATCGAAAAGTGTATCTGAACAATTTATAGACTTAATCACGTAGATGCCTTAGAACATACCTTCATGTAGAGGTGAGCTCCGAATATTGACTGTCCAGTTAACTATGATACCTGTTGAATTTAGACAGTTAATTACCACTGTATATCCACTTATTCAATTGTCTAAACAGTATAGTACTTGTGTATATACAGGTTAGTTAACTCATTATCCTCTTTTAGTCGATCGCCTCATGAATTTGATAAATGAGTTTGTTTAAAGTTTCAATCAAGAAATGAAAAAATGGAATAATTTTCATTCTTCCTCACAAGTGTTAAGCATGCTGGATATAGTTGTCTGACTGATAAATCATCAGTAAAACAGCTTTTCAGCTTACATTTGATTCTTATTTATTATATGTTGTAGGATGGTAAGAAAACATTTCACGAAACACAGCATACGGCTGACTTCTTAACCTTCATGGTCTATGTGATAAAACTCATATGACTGGTTTACAGTAATGAAATAAAAATAATATATACTGTACAATAGACAGCGCCTTTTATATAAAACTCGCATAATTTCCTGATACAGCCTATGGATCAAATGAGAAAGCTTTATTCTTGAGTTAGCCACTCAGAAGTGAAGAGATCGATCCTACGGTAGCTTTTAGCATTTATGCGCATTGGTAGTCCTTGTACAGAATTCGTCAGAGAATTCTAAGACTAGACGTGCTAATGAAACTTAAATAATCCAAATCCAAACACTAGAACTATACACCAGACTACACAGTAAACACAACAGATTTGTCTGACATACGCCACTACACTGAGGAACAACAACGACTAGTAGTAAGACCAAAAACCTGAAATCTCCAGATGCTCAAGTGTATATTAAGCTAATAAAAGTGTTGTTCAAGTACGCCAACGACAAAATAGGCAGAGGAAGGCTGTATCAAAACAGAAACTATCAATAGGGACAGAGGGCAAACGCCAAAATAAACGGAAGGGATGAAGACCTTGGACATATTTTAATTAAATTTAAGTGGTTGAAATACCATTATGAAATGACACGAAAAGTTAGCGTACCGAAATGTCATCATGCAAAACAAAGTATACTGCACCAGAACTCCATTCACGTAAGTGCTTCCATCTCGGTGAAATGAAGTGAACATGTATTACTACTTATTTTATTTGCAAGTAGCATAAAGCCAAAGGGTAAAATAGCACGAAGTAAATACTAGTCAATGGAATAATATGAAGTAAAAGCAGATTATACACAATGTGGTTTCAGTTTCGGGATTGAATCTTAAAGACACGCAACGATAAGTTGAGTTGGGACTGAGAAACTGAAGCTCCAAAAGTGGTTTACGATTCGGGAGTGATATTTACTGATATTAATGATGAATAATGGCTACCACTGGAATCCAGGAAGCGCACTTCTTCCCCCTAGAGACTCAGCAGCTGGATAAACCAGCCTCCCAGTGAGTGACGTTGTTCACACTCAGACTGGAACCTGGGACTAGTCATTTCGAACGACAAAGTCCTATCCATTAGGCCACCGAGTCACGATAACCATTTATTGTGCGACTGGTGTAGTTTTCTGTTGGTACTTGTATTATCCCACTGCTGATTGGGCTGAATTTATCGAGACTTCCGCTTTGGAGCCCATATGCATATAGAGACCAATGAATTTGGTCCAGTCAACGACAAAATAATACAAACTATCTACTGGCATATGTAATTTCTTATAATTCTGGATCGAATTACTCGATCTGTGTTGATATATGGGTTCCTATGAAGATGCCTTGATATTGCCTGATTATTCACCATGTTGTAATTCGCTTGATGACGGTTAGTTACGACGAAACATATGGGTTGGATCCCACTACTACATTTGTGAATGATCGACTGAAAGTTAAATTTAAAGCTCGGGGAGTAAACTTTCGTTATGAATGATGTTTTTAAATAACTATCTGAAAGATTGAGAAATTCAACCATGAGAACTGAAATGTCTGGCGACATAGAAGAATCTGCAGAAACACTCCTAGCCTATCAAAAGCTTTGTAATCATTCAATCCTTCTTCAGATTGTCTAAATTTCACTTAATTTATTTGGCAGATAATTATTTTTAAAGATTTTTGGTTGATAAATATTATAGATAGCTTACGATCACTTGGTGACTGTATCTGACCGGTCTATCTAATTTCACGTACATTAATGGAATAGATAGAAGGCG